TATCTGCGACAAAATTAATATACACACTAAAAACACCATACTTTATATCATTAGTATAATATGCAAACAGTTTTTTTCATATTCAAACAAGGCTTTTTGAGGAGTGTATGAAAAGCTATTTAAAAAGGAAAAACATCGTATAGGTAATTTAAAATAGGGAATGGAACTTTTCACATTAAGTATTCCAATATTTGTTTATAGTTTGATTTGAATATTTAAATTATCTGCTACCTGAATATTTGTAAATATTTAATTAGATATATCTCAATATTCAAATATGTGAATATCTAAAATCTTGATATGGTGATTCACTCAATATTAAAAAAATTATAACATTTGATAAAAAAATTAGAACTGCATACAAACATTTAATAGAGTAATTTCCAATATATGAGAGCCACATAAACGCAGCATTATATTTAAATAGGCGTTTCAGTATCCATATATTTGGATATCCATGCATATTTAAGCTTGAATATTCAAATATTTGGATGTTTGCATATTTAATTTTAAATAATCCTTCCAAAGTATATAAACATTTCAATATTCAAATAATTGGAATACAATTCCAAACCCTAGTTTAAATTCCATTATTATTCCATTCATTGTACATTAGAAAACATTAACTAAACTGCTAACCACGTATGTTGCTATGTAATCAGCTTCAAATAAACTACAAACAACAGTAACCAATATTGTTAGAAATGTAGAAATCAATGAAAGGGCGGAGCTTTATTATTCCGCAACCTAATACTAAGGTTCATGAGATTCTCTATCTAATTAAGTTTCAAAAAATAATATCTACTCACTCACCTCTTTCATTTTGTCTCCATTTCCATATTCAATTTCTTGCTCGGTAGGTACAACTTCTTCTGGTCCACACTCAATAGTAAGTTCAAATCCAAGATTTTCCATGTCATATACAATTTCATGTGATTTTTGTGAATCATCATTATTATCAATTACATCCATATTCTCATTTTCTACATTAACATTTAAAGCTGAAAGTTTATTGGCAATTTTTAATTCTTCCTCATTATCTACAATTTCTTCAAGCTGCAATTCTTCTTCATGCATATATACAATGCCTTCTTCTGTATCATCCTCTGCTACAATTCCCTGATTAATAGTTTCAGTATTAAGAATGTCTTCCCTATCAATAATAGTTTCTTTATTATCAGAATTTTCTTCATTTTTAATAGCATTATCTTCATTATTAGCAATATATTCATCATTATTAATAGTGATACCTTCATTATTAACAATGTTACATTCAATTATTCCATTATCTTCATGATTTTTGACAAAATTACTTATTTCCAATAAGTCATCATTTTGTTTCTCATTTTCCTTAACAAAATGTTCATTGGTATTTTTAAAAGATCCTACACCTTTTTCATTTTCATCTAAAGTTATATATATTGTACCAGTCTGATCTGAAGAAATAGAATTATCTTCAACTGTAATAATTTCAACATTTTCTTCATTTAAGACATCTTCACTACTGCATGTATGCACCTCTTCAACTGCAAACGTTTCGTTTTCTAAAAATGGTTTGACCTCTGAGTCAACAAAGGTTTCTTCAGTGTTTACATATGCTATCTCATTCTGGGTGTTATCTATTTTCAACGGATCTTCTGTTTCTTCAATTACACAACGAAATTTACCAAATTTTTTATGTACCCCTTCTGTTACAATTTTCATTTCCAAATTCGAGTTTTCAGACGATGATGCCTGATCTGTTGTTGCCGCCGAGACCGTTCCATTGGAATTATCGGAGCAACCCTCGTAAACAATTTCCGTGTTGTTACTTTCAGGTAATCTTTTTGTTACTTTCGGTTGACGTTTTCCGGCAGAAGAAGCTCCTCTACGTCGTTTCCGAGCCATTATTATTAATTAACACGGGTAACCCAAATTCACCTGGGGTGCTCGATTCTTTACTTACTTAGAGGTAGACAACCCGTTATACTGAGGTCCTAATGAATGTTTTTTTAAGGTTATATATAAACATCAAAAGTATACAAATAATAGTAGGCTTTGATCTCTGATTTTTCTACTCGTTTGTATATTATCTACTAAACATACAAGAGCTTTCTTTTTAAATTAATATCCATTGTTGTTAGAAACGAATGTATACATTCAAATAATGCAGAAAATGAATGTTTATTAGAAGTACACCCCTTCTAAGCAGTGATATATATGTATGTATGTATAGAAACAAAATAAGATGTAAAATATCGTGGTCTTTACATTCAATAGTTCTCAATTATTAAACGGTGTTACAAGTACGCTGTTTTAAATCAAACATTCAAGTACGGTTTTTTAACTGTTGTCATAAACAGTTCTTTGAATAAGCATGCTGTAAACAAGTGTTTAACTAATAAACGGTTTATCTTGATATAGAAATTTAAAATACGTTCTTGCATACAAAATTACGATAATATTCATACCTTTTTTGTTGTTTCTTCTTAGCAGTTTGTATTTTTGTTTCTAATGCATGTGATATTATTACCAGCAGGTCACTAGCATCTTCCCATTTGATAATAATCTTAATATGTTAATAATTTCATTTCGTCCGTTTTAAATACCATTTTGAGTAAATTAAACGACGTTCCAACTTTCCACATTTACGTAGTATTTGAGATTTCCAGATTTAATCAATAAGTAATCTACTTTAAATTATTTATGACACGGATATAGCCTAGGGCTACCATAAAAATATCTAGCTCTTGCTGATTTCATCAACTTATATTAACTAATAATTAACTACACTTTTTTACATTAATTAGTTACATCGATACAGCAGTAATGCTTTAATCATAGACAAGAGAAGTTTATAGCTTTAATGATTACAGAAGAAATAATACCAATTTACACAAATAGGTACTATCAACATATAGATACTATCAAAATAACAGGACTCAATACAATTATCATACGATTACAGTCTGTGATTGTAGTTGATTATAGTCCTCGATGGTACTTGGTCCTTTCGTTTTATAATTATCTATGGTTTTATAGTAATTTAAAGAAGGATGGAGAATGGAGTTATAAAATTATCTATGGTTATAAAAAAATAAAACAAATACAAGTAAAATTTATAGGTTATGAATCAGTTATGAATAGAATTTATTGAACAAATAATATTGTGATTTGAAATTTGAAGCCGAATTTTATGTGAATTCGTGATGTGCAATGTGTCTAAATGAAAGAACTGTCATACAATAAATTTAAAGAACACTTTATAAGATGGCTTTTATTATTTCCAACGTTTTTAACAAATCTTCCAATAAAAGCATAGTGACCAGGTGCTTATAATTCATGCAGTTTCATTTTTGAAATATACAGCTGTTTCTTTTTAGTTTTCAGATTTACAATATAACTCAAATAAGAGAAAAGCGTGTGGTACCTAAACCAAAATTAAGACATCCTACTTGGTTTACTCATAAAAACCGTGTGGTAAGATACTCTTTGATTATCATTACATTTGAGGTTAACCTTAAATTTGCTAGATTCATGATGACTTTGTTACTGCTGATAATGTTGGATTTTTAAAAGAAGTTGTTGAAGACCAACGCAATAGTTTAATTCCTAAAAAAGCTCCAACAAATATTATTGATTGGCATCCAGGATTACGTCGAACAGGTGTTATAGCTCGTAAGATTGGGAATATTCCTTTGTGGTTGAAGGATGGAACTAAAATATTTACAACTATGTTAGAGGTATCTCACATTGTTTACTCTCCTAAGTAGTATTAATAATATTACTTTTTAGGTTTTAGACAACCATGTAATTAGATGTTACTCACCAGAAGAATATAATAGTCCTAGAGTGAAACCCACTCTCGTCAAGAATAAAAAGGGATGTCTGCTTCTAGGAGCAATTGAAACAGATCCAATATTATTAACAAAAGAATACTGTGGTTTGTTTAAAGATTCAGGAGTTCTACCGAAAAAAGTTTTAGGACGTTTTTTTGTAAGTCCTGAAGCATTACTTCAACCAGGAACTCCAATCACAATAGATCATTACAGAGTTGGAAACTATGTGGATGTAAGAGGAAAAACGTAAGTATTGTAGCTTCTATTTTAGGAAAATATACAATTCAAAATTTATATTTATTTGTTACTTTAGAAAACTTCCCGTTTTGCAACTGTTTTATGAATTTTTAATTTCTCCTTGTTAATTTTCCAATTGTACATTTTTCTGCCTTAAATATAATTTATCTACTTTGTTTGTATACATTATATATAATTAACTACCTAAATTATTTGTAAAGCAAAGTTTGTAAAATTTGAAAGAAGAATAGAGAAAAATTTAGGAAGGAGGTAAGAAAGATAGCTAAGGTGAATAAAGAGGATAAGTTGTATGCTTGGTTCATAATGATTCAATTTTTTTTTTAAATATAAATTTGTAATTCACATTAGCATTTTACAGGATAGATCGAGGTTTTCAAGGTGTAATGAAAAGACACGGATTTAGTGGCATGCCTGCATCACATGGAGTGACAAAAACTCACAGAAGAGGTGGTAACATCGGAGGGGGTGGTGAAAAAGGTCGAGTTTGGCCAGGCACTAAAATGCCTGGACATATGGGTAATAGGTATAGAGTTGCCAAGGGATTAAAAATATTGAGAATAAATAGGAAATATAATGTAATGTGGGTTATGGGAATGGGAATTCCTGGAGAAACGAACTCAATAGTATATATTTACGATACAGTTTTACCATTACGTAAACCATCTGCTGCATTACCGTTTCCCACATATTTTCACAAAGATGAAGATGTTTTGCCTGAAGAATTTTATGACGAAAATTTACATAATTTCAGTGATCCATCAATTGTTTATAAATAGATCATGTTTTACGGTAANTTAGTTGTAGAGCATAATTGATGTTATCTACTTTTACTTGATGAAATTCGATATTATACACAAATAAAAACCTATAACGAATTTCACATATTCTTTTTGAAATTACTATACCATTATCTAAAAAAAAAAGTGTAGGTAGTAGGAGATACTTTACCTTTCGTGCTAAGTGTTTGAAGTCTTCATTATTACTAATATGTCCTTCTTTACAATCTGGTTTACGAAAGGGATTCAAAATATTGACCATAACACTAGCCATGCTGGAGCGGAAGTTTTCCTTTATTTTTTTGGCAGTTTCATTGTCAACTTCGGTAAGTTTTTCCTTTTCTTTATGCTTTTTATGTTTTGGACTTTTAACAGTGACTCTGATTCGTTTTTTCGGTTGTTCCCCGGCAGTTTCTTTCGATTGCTTGGCTTTTTTAAGCAAAACTTCTTTTTGACGTTTTAACTTTTCTTTATTGTCTTTGTATTTTTTGAGATTTTCTTTTGCAAGTATTTTATCTTCTTCCGTTCTAGGCTGTAAAAAAAAGATATAATTAAAAGAAAATTGATAATATATGATAATGTTATGGGGTTTTGCGCTTTTAAGATTTTTGAATATTTAGCAGTAATACTAATAAATTACCTACTGATTACAGTGATTTTTAATATTAAATTTCTTCATACCATCTGACCTTTTTAGTAAGAGGATTTTGTACTTTTTGTGATCCGATTTGTAATATAATCATGTTATCTTATGGGATAAAACAAACTTACACTTATTATATGTATTTCTGTAACTAATCCACTGCGTCTGCGTTTTACGGGTGGTTCTTTATCTTTTTCATTTTTCAAAAAATTAAATTCCACCTTAAGCCTCTCCTCTAGAGAAGGTTTCTTCTCAGACTGAAAAGGATCATTCACTTTTTGTTGAATATCATCCTTGGAGTTACTATCGTCTTGTTCTGATATCAACTTTGTTTCCATGTTTTTTAAATTCTTTTTTATTTCAATCATTAATTTTGTATCATCTACTTCATCTTCATCACTGTCACTCTCTTCACAACTTGATTCTGAACTTAAACTACTGGAGTCTGAAGATGATGTGGTTTCAGAAGCTAAAAATTATACATTAATTACTTATAAACAGAACAAGGAATCATTAATTAATGTATTATTTACTCTACTCTACTCTACTCTATAAAAAATATGTCGCAGGAAGTCTAGTCTAACCATTTTTAAACAAGGCTACGCAACTAAGAAAATAGTGTTTTCATCAGAGATTAATTAAATGTTTATAGACAGAATGTAATGATGTGGGTAGTTACATTATGTGTTTTAAACTTGAATGAATAGATGAAAGGTATTCTAGTGGTTTGTAGGAATAATTAGCCGCTAAAAACTGTGCTATTTTCTTAATTGCCTTCCCGTATTTAAAGTTCCGAATACTATACATTAACTGTATTGGATTTTTTTTACGTTTGTTACTTTTTAGTTGGATTACAATTAAATACATTTAATAATATTGTGAATGTACTGAACTTTACTAGTTTTCAATTTTTTTATCGTATAACTCATGTTTAGTTTTTTATATTAATTAATTATAAGATGTGAACAGCTAATATCATAAATCAAAATAGGAAAGCAATAAAACAAATAATCTTCTTACATTCATCTTCCGAATCTTCAGCTAACTGTATATCAGGGGGTTCCCACTGGGATATTCTGATTTTGACGTGGTAGTAATAAGGTCGTCCGTAAATATCTTTGGCGCATTTCCATTTTGGTGGTAATTTTACGGGCGGGGGTATTGGTCCAGCAAATCGTACCTTCAAAATTCTAAGTATTATACCAAAACTATTGGAAAAATAAGATATTCAAAATACCTGAGATGCATCTTCTATTTTGTCATCAGTCGTGGTATTTGGCAATGGTGGAATGACAGGAAGAGGAGGATTTCCTGGCAGAGGAACACTTATTCCTTGAGGAGGCAATAAATTTGAGCTTTGAATATCAGGGAGTCTATTTGTGTGTTGTAACATAGATGGCATGCCGGTACTTGTAATAATTGGTGGATAGTGACTGACTTGAGGAACATTCGGTTGTACAGGAGGAAATGAGGATAATTGAGAATGAGAATTAGAGTTTAAACTAGCAGAATAACTATTGAATGGATAAGGTAGTCGAGCAGCAGGTTGATTTAAATTCTGAAGTATAGGGGGAGGATGGGGCACCATAGCTTGTTTTTGAGGTGGCGTTTGACCTACACTCGTCGGATTTTGATTCAAAATTTGAACTTTCTGCCATTGACCTGTTTGAGGATTCCACATATATTGAAATTTAACATCATGTTGTGGACCAAGGCGTAGATCGGGACCTAAAATTGCTACTTCTTGTTTTATAAAAGAGTGCATTTTACGTCGTTTTTCTTCTTCCTGTTCTACTTGAAGGGCAAACAATTTTCTCCTTTCGTGCTTATTATATTTGAATGGATTCAGATTTCTTTGATCTAAAATTGGAAACGGTTTTCGCATTCTCAGTTCGATGTCAAATCTGCTAGGTCTCTGTAACTGACGATAACGATTTAGATGTTTTCTTTCGAGATCATTTTCCAGAGTTGGTTTATAGCCTCTATTCGCTTCCCGTTCGTGTTCCTTCATTCTTTCGATCCGTTCTTTTTTGGGAATACGAAAAACCTCCTTTAGAGTCGACCATTCTTCCAACAATTTTAAAGCAAGAGCAACAATTTCAACTTCGTATTCAGGGACCTCTGGTTTTGTTGCCCTTTCAACTTCTTTTTCAATGATATCTAAAATATCATCCTCAAACAAATTTGCAAAATGAGACACAGTGATTTTTTCTAGTAAACTGGAAACTGATTTATCTTGATCCTTAACGATACTTTCATGGTCCATACCGACCGATTTCCTAATTTCAAATTCTTCAACACCTTCCTTTTTTTCTTCTTTTACTTCTTTCGCTTTTATATCAACGATAACTTCCATGGTTTCGACTAATTTGGAATCTGTTTTATTTTGCGTCTCTTCAACACCAAATTCATCTTCTTCTTTTTCTTCGTTTTCTAATTTGGGTGAATTACTATCAGAGTCCAGTTCGTCGTCTTTCTTTAAAGGCAGTGACCACTTTTCAACTGTTAGAAGCACTTTGCTATCTTGTAGCATCGTCTTGTTTGGAATAGGTAAAGTGGCTAGTGTTTGCAAAATTTCCAACCTACAGGGAATTAATAAAAGTAATCTCATATTTAATAAACAAAAAAAAATATATGCTTCCTTTCACGGTCAGCAGCAATTTCGACTTTTACAGAACTACAGTTCAGATGAACAGAAAAGTATTCCATTTTAAAATTATGGAAAAATCTTCTCTTTGAAATACAAAAAAGCATGTTAAAACGCTTTAAAAGAGGAAACAATGAGGTTTGAACAATTGCAATTGGTCTACAACTTTAATAACTTTTTGCAAAAGATGTTAAGGGCATGGATCATCTAATATGTCTAACATTAACTTTCTTTTAAGGTGCTAATTTAACTATAAATATAATTTTGATGTACTAAAGACTAGTTTAGTCTGTTCCTCTAGTCCTTAGTTTTAGTTTTTTAAGTACCGTCCCACATACAGAAGGCGGTATCATTCTCTGTGGGTGACAATATATATGTTTATGTTTATCAACTAAGTATTGTCAATGACTTTTCTAATAAATAAAAACAAAACCGCGAAAGATGGCCATTTTTGAACATCTAATAATAATCAACAAAAGTTGCCATATTCCGCAGTTTTTATTTTTTAGAGTTGTTGACCGACTTATTGTATTCCTCCTTTTAAGTGGTACTGTGTTCGGATTTTCAAAGAAAACATTTTCTTATATCTAAAAAACCTGCTCTAGGCACCTTTACTATTTTTTTCGCCTACATACAAGTTCTTAGATTTTCTCCTAATGATCACGTTAAGAAAGTGCAGGATAAATTTTTTCCAAAAAATAAACTCTAAACCATTGAAAGAATTACTCTTAACATGGCTAAAGAAGTTTCACTTCAAATATACATATTTTTTTTATATGATAAGAGCATCAATTATGTGTAAACGTAAATTATTTTCATAACTAATGAATATTAATATAGCAAATGCATAATACAGTAGCAAAACAAAGGTAATAAATCAATTTGAAAATGTGTAAAAAGAAATCTAAAACACGTTTCAATAAGTAAGGTGCCATCTTCTGTTAGAGACTGAATTGATTACTATTATGTTTGCACGTTAATGTCTCGAGTACTAGCAGATTAACTCTTATTTAAATATACGATATTGATAACAGTAACAAACGTTTATTGTACCTCAGCGATTCTTGTTTCATGTCCGTTTTACAATATCTTTGCGCATCAGTCATCCATCCATGTATTAATCGTAGACCATGATAATCTAGAAATAATCTTCGGCAAGGAAATTCTCCTCTGCGGAGAACCCGAAGTAAATTACTTTTTTGCGTTATTTCTGTTGCTCGTACCATCAAACGACTGAGTTTTAACGTATGTGCTTGATTCTTTAAACCAGTGGACATAAGCGTTTGGATTTCTTCGTTTAACTGTAATATAAATGATATTTTCAGTAAAAAAAAAGTAAATTATACGGATAATTAACTTACATCAGAATCGTCAAACAACTCCTTTCGAGTTTTTTGTAATATCTTATTTGGCTTACTCTTTGGTGTTTTGACTTTGTTGATTATTTTGCTTTTTTCTTCTTTCGATTTGACTTTTTCTGGAGTTTCTGTACCTAATTTTGGCTCGTCTGTTAATACTGAATCCTCCTTGACACCTTCATCTTTTAACGATTTCTTAACTTTTTGTTTCACCACAACATCTTTCCTTAATTTACTTGTCTTGTCTCCTTCATCCTTCTTTTTGTCTACACTTTCTTCATCTTCTGTTTCCTCTTTTTCTTCCTCCTCTTCCTCCATTTCTTCAGCTTCTTCTTCATCTTCATCATCTGGCTCTTCTCCAAGCCAACCCCGACAAGAAGGCGCTTCGCAATAACATTTTTGAGCTTCTTTGCTACAAAAATTAGATTTGATTTAGTCAGAAGACATTTTTCTAGGCCATTTTTAAGTTTAATCCATCACTGGCGAGATTTCTAAATGAGGAGAAAAAATTAGCAATGTTGTATATAAACTTCATCTGCTATAGATTTGAATATTTACTCTACATATTTTTTGTGTATTAAATACAAACTGTTTGTGCTAACCCATATCTTTGAAAGTGATAATCAAAAGTTATTTCTTCTCCAACCTGAATTGTCTTCTTGCTAAAGAAACCTATTCGCAGTTCGCCGTTTACAGTCCACTTTTGAGTTTCAGCATTTGGTTCGCATGAATGATTGATAAATCTCGATATATTGCCTACGAAATAATAAAATGTGTATATAGTTAAAATAAAAAATACAATTTAAAATACGAATTCTACCTTTTTGCGTAGCATCAATGACGGCATCAGATCGAAGAGCCATAAAATAAAAATGTGAATTTTTGCCTTTTGAATACTCAGTTGCTCTATCTTCGAATTCATCTGGATTAATAACTTCACCCACATATTCTAGTATAAATTCACCACTGCAAAAAAAATAGAGATTTGAAAGGTCTCACATATATATTATACTGAATTTTGCAGTATAAAATAATGCTTACTCAGGGATAATTTTAGTCGCGCGAATTCCTAAACCTTTTTTTTCGGTGCGAAATACTTCACAAGCAGATTGTTTCGATTTTTGGAACCTTTTATTTGTACATCTATCTCCCAGAGAACATAAAGGCCCACTGTAATAATAAATCTAGTATAGTGACATATTTAAGAAAATACCTAAATATTACCATTCAATCATAAGCAAACGATTTAAGCAATCTTCTCCACAGCCATAGTCTCCTCGGTCAACTTCCTCTTGTGTTAAAAAGCAGTCACACACCATCTTCTTCGCTTCCTTGCAACACACTCTGTCAGTTAAATAACTGTTATCTTTCAAGTGGACAAATTGTTTAAGTCTGATTTTAATTTCTTCTTCAGGGGTTAATATTTTTTCAGAACTATTTTTATCATTATCGTTGTTTTTATTTGCTCCCATTTCTAACTCGCTTGACCTTCGCCAGCGGGATTTTACTTTAACAGGTTTTTGTTCTGTATCATTGTTCACACTTACTGTAGAAATATTTGAATTTTCCGTCGATAACTTTTCTAATTCGTTATTTCCAGAATTACTTCCATCTGATGAATCAGATTCTCCTTTTTTATTTTTTGCCATTCCTTTACTATTTATAGTTGACTTATCAGTCTTCTGTGTTTGTTTAGTACCAATAGATTTAATTCGGGTTGACCGGCGAACTTTAGTTTTTTCTTGAATTCCTTCCTTTTTTTTATCAGATGTTTTTTTCATCTTAAATTCTTTTAGGGCTGCTTTGGTTGGTACTTTGAGAGGTTTTTTATCTATTTTTCGAACATTTCTCTGCTTCTTTTTCTCTTGATTTTTTCCTTTTGTTTGTACCTCTTCATGCTCCATATTAGCAGTACAAACATCTCTGACACACTCCGGGTCATCTAATTTGATTTCCTCTTGCTTTTCTGTAAGTGTCGCATCATTCTCTTCTTTGACTTCAAGAGTTTCCAATATTTCTTCTTGTTGACCGTAATTTATTTCTTTCTTTATTTTGTTATCAGTAGTATTAAAAATATTTAAATCATTTGATTCCTCATCTTTAGATATTGTAAGAGCTTCCAATAATTCTGTTTCCTTAAATAATTGGTGTTTCTCAGTATTACTTACATTTGTATCAATTTCAGGCTTGTTTTCGACAATTGGAATATCATCAGATTCCTTGTTATGATCAATTTCTGCTTTAATATTTAATAATATATCATGTTTGCTAGTTTCAATTTCTTCAGTCTCCACCTTTCATAAAATTAATACTGAATAAATAATGCATACATATCAAAAACGCTATGTAATATAGTAAGTATTCTATAGTATACATGTTTTTTATATTAATTTTATATTAAAATG